CAGCAAGCAAGCAGCGTGTCGACGCTGAAGAACGCCAGCGCTCAGCCAGCAAGTAGCCAGCATCTCACAAGCCAGCGTCGCGTCAAAGTAGAGTCGGCCCTGACTCGCGACAGAACCCATTAATGTCAAGGCCAGGAGTCAACCTTAAGTAGCGTTGACTCGGGGTCAATGGCCCGGTGCAGTGGTCCTGTGCCGTCAAGATCTTGATGCGGCGACGGCCTGGATTGGTCTGCAACTGTTTCTCCCTTGGTCCGATGTCTTGGCCCGGTACCTGCATACAACACGTGTGCATCTGTTCGTGGACTTGGGTACGGTACCTGCAACCCAACAGTTGACTTTGACCTTTGAATTTCCCCAGTCCAGTGCTGGGTCTCACTGGCCAGACGCTGGGCTGGGCCGGGTAGTGCGTGGTCACACAGCCCGGCCTCTGCAGAGTGCGGGTTACTGCAATCTGCCTCTATCATTAACTGTGTTCAACCATATTATTTTCTTTCCTTTATTCTTTTTATTCTTTCATCGTCTACATGCTACCTTCAGTCTGAAAGGTCTTTCCTGACCTCATTGTACACAATTCCATGTGACTATTTCGCTTGATATGGCTTCTGTCATAAGTTCTGCGAGAATTTGCAGAGTCAATTCAGTGAAGATTCGCCTAAGTTACATTTGACCATGTAAGAACCGGGTTTTTTTTTTTTTTTGTGGAGAAATGAATAGGGTAGTTGCCTGCATACAATTATTTCCGAAAATGGGAGAAGGATATAAGTACCATGTTCGTACAAATAGAAAGCCCAGTCAGTGCAGTAACAAAAAAACAAAAAAACAAAACAAAAAAATAAGGCGGCCATTCATTATCGCTCTATCTATAGACTGAAAGACTGTGAAAGTTGCCCCAAATACAGCAGCTATAATGACCTTATGACGCTTACGCTTACGTTCTATTTTGGGGAAGACGGTGACATCTACCCACACGAGTCACCTACGTTCTATTTCGGGGAAGACGGTGACATCTACCCACACGAGTCACCTGATAACAGCTCCCAAGTAAAGCGTATCTAAGCTTGGCGATTCAACCACCACGCATTTGGCACAACTTTCAGTCTAGATGCATGCGAATTGCTGTTGCTTAACCTTCAAACCCACCCTCCTCCTCTGTCCCAACTGGCATCAAACAGGTGCTAAAACCCCATCCTTCTTCTACCTCATCAAATATAAGTTTATTATATAACCAAATATGGAATCCAAGATTTGGCCAGAGACTGTACTGTACACCCTGCCTCCTTTAAGCTTACAGCAACAGTAACTTTCATCAGTAACTTTCATCAGTAACATTCATCAGTAACTTTCAACAGTAACTTTCATTGCTCCGGTGATAATTTAAACCGGTCCAGAGGTGGAGGTAGTTAGAGGTCTCCTCAACCCGGATAGACCGAACCACGAATATGGGATTTCATCAGAGATCATATCATAATTCTTTATTGCATTGGAATTAAATTCGATTAATTCCAGGCAGCTTCCATTAACAAGACAGAAAAGAACTGCAAAAAAAAATGGAGATATTTGAAAGAACAATTCGACATTCTGACATTCGGCCAGTTCAGAGGAAATGAATCCTTCCTCTGGCGTCCAACAGCGACAGCATCTGCAACAAGCCTCGCACAGTAAGCCCACTGCCGCGGACGCAAAGATGCACCTGCTGGTTCTGAGATTTCAAGACCTTGATGCACCAGAGAGAGAGAGAGAGAGAGAGAGAGAGAGAGAGAGAGAGAGAGAGAGAGAGAGAGAGAGAGAGAGAGAGGAGCTTCATGAGCGGCGGCAGAAATAGGTCTTGATGCACCAGAGAGAGAGAGAGAGAGAGAGAGAGAGAGAGAGAGAGAGAGAGAGAGAGAGAGAGAGAGAGAG